ATGTTGAATCCACACTGCTTCTACTGGGCGGGGAAGGGCCCATGGCAGCGCTACCTAGACACACTTCTCTCCCACAGGTTCCCCAACTCCAGTCCAACCAGGTCCTCCCTTAATGAAGAGAAACAGAAGTCAGTAGGGTTCTATGGAGGAGAACACTACAAAAGAGGGAAGGTCAATAGTTCCCAAACCCAAGAGACAAATAAATTATTATCCTTTTTCCCTTCTCAGAAGTTTTTCTGCTTTCTTATTCCTCAGAGATCAAGGGTCAAAATATCAAGATCGAGTCCTTTGGGCTGCTCTAAGAGGGGTACTGTTTCAGCTTCAATATTTTACTGGCAAGATAGAAGGCTTCTTGGGTTCCCAGCAGGACGAGAGGGGCACGCCAGGCTCTGGTCCCTGTAGAGCAGGGTGGGCTGAGCCTACAGGGTCAAGGCTCCTCCTACAGCCTGGAGTATACAGGAAATGTCCTGTGGGGGAATCCAATGATGCCTCAATGTAGGCACGTAACTTACTAAACCATTGCAGCAGGACCTCAAAAGCACAAGTGCGTTTGCATATGCATCTTCTTTTTCCTGTTGTTTAAAAAAACCATTTTACCATGAGGGTAATTCTGTGGACTTGTCAATTTGCAGAGGATCCCCTGCCCCTGCTTTGGCCTCTGTCACTGGCCTCTCTCCCAATTAGCTAATGTGGTAGAAACTACAAGCAGAACAAAGAATCCTCAGCCCGGTGTGAATTGTGGAACACTTTATTGAACAGGAATGAACAGAAGTTAGGTTTCCTCTGCAGATTAACAGAGACTCCAGGCGCCAGCAAAGGAAGTGAAGGGAATTTCTGAGAAAATGTTCAGGGTGGAGGCAGAAGTTCAAAGGGAAAAAATTTAGAGGACGAGATGAATCACCCCTTCTGAAATGCTTCAGATGGTGAAAAATGAGGGCCCGATGGCCAGGAGGTAGGGAAGCAGAGAAAAAGTCGAGAGGCCCCAGGAGTGAGCATTTGCTGAGCCCGCTCTCCTGCTGCCAAGCCCAGCACATGCAGCGTCCTTAGAGAGCCGGAAAAGAAGGCAGCATGGTTCAGGGGAAGGAGCCTGAGATTTGGAGGTAGATCTGAGCTCACAAGCTAACTAGTCAGCCACGTGCCACTAGCTAACTATGTGGCTTTGCATTGCTTAGCTGTCCTAAACCTCAGTTCCCTCATTCTCAAAATAGGAACGATAATGCCCATCTCCCGGTGTTGTTATGGGGATTACATGAAATAATAAATACGGAAATACTGACCACAACACAGTAGGCATGTGTGAATTGTGGTTCTGCAACCCTTCCTCTATCCAAGCACCAGAAATAACTTATTCCTATTCTTGAGCTTTGCCCAGGCCAAATGCTTTGAAACACTCCCTGGAGGAATCAGGGACTTGTTCCAGCAATCTTCCCTACCAGGGAGCCAACTGCACTGGGGATTGCTTGCTGCAGGAGTCAAATGCTCATAGGCAGCTGCTTCTCCTGGGGAGGGGCTGGGGCTGCAGGCAGGGAGTCTGGGGAGGTCTCAGCAGCATTTGTGAGACAAGGCTGTGGCTCAAAGGCCTCCTCTCAGGAAGCTGTCACCTTTTCCTGGTCTTCCAGATGCCTACCTTCCAGTGGGCCCCTTAGTCCTCCTGAAGGCACACCCAGCTAATAGGTGAGTCTGTGGCTTTAAGGCATGTTTTAAAACTGAAGACAGGCACCTTCTCACTCATACAGTATTTGGTCCCCAGGACATCCAAAATTACCCAAGCTATTTATAAACCATTCTTAATGCTCAAGCTTGAAAAGCCAAAGCCAAGAGTGTTTGAGTTCCACTCATTTTAAAATGGCAAGGAAAATAGCATTTGATCTAAAAGTTGGTTTTTAGACCAGCTGGTTCCCCCATCCCCATATTGTTCATCCTCTCTACTCCTCCTTCTCCAATACGTAAAACAGCCCACACACAGCCATGAGTGCACACACATGTGCTTTCACATGGACACCTATACATGTATAGAGTTTTTGCGACAAAGTCTTGATATTGTCCAGTGTTTTCTAGTTTCTTCTCTAAAACACTAAAGAGAAATATATGAGAAGCTGATGAAGGTTTGTATACATAGAATGACATTCTACCAACTGTGTCCCACCACCACCCACCAACCCCGATGACAAGATATACTATTCTTCGGGTATAAAACACTAGTCAAAAATAAAGTTAGATTCCTTACATATACTATACATAAAATAAATTGTGGGCATATTGAAGATCCATATATAAATAATTAAACTATACAAATATTTGAAAAAATCAGGGGAACATTTGGATAGCGTTGGAACTGGGAAAAATTAAGCAAAGGAGAAAAAACACACAAGCCATTAAACTAAAAACAGATTTGATCATATAAAAATGAAAAGCTTCAAAGAGCAAAAGATACCATAATCAAAATCACAAATAGAAGACATCACAAAAAAGAATATACTGGAGGTGATTATGGTTAAGTAAAATCATCCAGGCACAGAAGGACACATAGCACATATTCTCACTCATGTGGAAGCTAAAAAAGTTAATCTCATGGAGGTAGAGAGTAGAGTGATAGATACTAGAGGCTGGGAAGGGTGAGTGAATGGGGTTGGAGGGTGTGAAGCGAGATTGGTTAATTGGTACAAACATTCAGTTAGATAGAAGGAGTAAGTTTTAATGTTCGATAGCAGAGTAGCGTGACCATAGCTAACAATGACATAGTGTATATTTCAAAATAGCTAGAGGAGAGGACGTGAATTGTTCCCAACGCATAGAAATAATAAATACTTGAGGTGACGGATAACCCAAATACCCTGACTTGATCGTTATACATTCTATACATGTAGCAAAATATCACATGTACCCCATAAATATGTATAAATATTATATATCAATTAAAAAGGAAAAAAGAATCTAATAAAATGATAGGTTGGAAGGAAATATTTAAATGCATGTAATATGCAAAGAACTCTCCCAACTAACAAGAAGATAAACAACCCAATAAAAAAATGGTAAAAAACATAAACTGGCAAGTTTTAGAAAAGGAACCAAAATTAACAATAGTCACATAAAATAAAAAAATATACTCCCTCTCAAATAATAGATAGAAAAATTAAAATTAACACAATAATGATATAACCATTTTTATCCATTAAAAATTCATAAGGTTGATAATATCCAATGACAATGTAGGGTACCTGATTCTGTCATGTAATATCAGGAGGAGTGTAAATAACTACAAACCTTTATAAAAGTTATTTAAAAGTATTTATTAAAATTTAAAATATCTAGAAATCCCATTTCTGGGGATGAAAATATAAGTAGATAAAGCTAGTTGTCTGTGATATTTATTACAGTATTTTTTGTAATAAAAAACTTAAAACAAATATCATTCAAAAGGGGACTCATTAAAGAAATTCTGCAGAACTTGTACTATAGAACATTGTTGTAACCTCTACTTTCCACTACATTTTCACACGGGTGACTCTGGGCAAGTCATGCCTCAGTTTCCTTATCTATAAAATGAAGATAATAATGGTATTTACATCACAGATTTATTTGTGCTAACTTGGAAGAATTTTTACTGTACATTGCTTAATAAAAAGGAATTTACAGAATTAAAGGTATTCTTAAAATTTTATAGATACTCATATTTATTTGTGTATGTTTGTGTCAGCAAAGGAAAAATCTGGAGAAGTTACGCATGAAATTGTTGAACACATCTACAACTTTTGTAATTTATGTCACCAAAAAGAAGAAAAATCACCAATAGAAACAAAATGACAGAAGACGTGTAAAACAAATAATAATGGTTAACAACCATAGGAAGAAAAATTCAACCTTAAAAAAGCCCACTAGTTTTTGAGAACCTCCTTAATTCAAAGCCCTCTTTTCAATGTCCTGCACCATTCAAATTAGCCAAATGGAGGGTGCTACAGATACCCACCCCAAAACAAGAGGGTGTGTGTTTGTGATGGGTGCATGTGAGGGGATTTGGGGTGGGGAGGTGGGCATATAGCAGGGAAGATGTTGTGGATGAAGAAGTACCTTTGGAGAGGTTAGTGGCAGACTCGAGTTCTAATCCTGACCCTTTCACTTATAGTCTATGGATTCAAATTGCTTTTTTTTTTCCAATCTCTTCATTTGGGAAACCTGTAGGTGAAGAGATTAAATGACGTCCTATTCATACCAGGCGTGGGACAGGGACCTCCTGCACTCTCAGCCCTGCCACAGGCCCACCCGGAGGTGCTGTGCCCTCCTCCTCCCCATACCTCCCTGTCTCACTGGCAGGGTGACGGTGCAGCCTTCCTCCCCCGTGCCAGGAGAGGAGGCTCTGGTCTTCACTCTCTTAACTCAGCCTGCCTGCCTGCGACTTTCCATTTACCATGACACCAATTCATTCTGTATTTAAGTGATTTTGTTCCCTGCAAAAGTAAAGGCATGCTTTCCGTCAAAAGCAAACATGCTCACATACACACACAAAATGAAACGGGAGCACTGAAGCCTTTTACTCAGCACAAATATTTCTAAATAAGAATCCAAGTGTCACACTGGATCCTGTACAAAATACAGGTTTAGTTAGTAACAGAAAGAAAGCTCCCAACATCAAAATGGCAGGGGAAGATTAATTGTAACAATTTTATGTTATTAAAAAAATGCATTTAAAATAACTGACCCTTTAAAATACCTTGAACAGACAGAGAGGGGCAAAATAATCTGTCTCTTTGCAAAAGAGGAGTCTCCCAAGAGATGGTGGAAAAACTGGAGGGAAAAGTCTCTGCTCGTCTGGTGGATTAAGTGTTCTGGTGGGTCCAACAGGTCAGGTGAGAATTCCCTTAGGACCTTTCAGATCACAGGATCACCATGCTTACTATGAGAAAATAATTCTGTGCTGTTGTCCCATGACATACTCCAGGTCTTTAAAGCTCTTCTACTCCTGCCCAGAGGGCTGGGACTGGTGGCATTCCCCAGGGCAGAGCTCAGGCGCTCTGGGCTCTGGGCTCTCTGCCGCGGTTGAGGAGGTCTGTAAGTTCCCCGATGTACTTGATGGTGTACTTGAGCGTCTGGATCTTGGTGAGCGGCTGGCCTCTCTGGCTGTAGACAGGTGGCAGGTAATTCCGGAGGGTGTGCAGGGCGTCTGCCAAAGTCCTCATCCTGAGCTTCTCCCTCTCGCTGGCCTTCCGCCTCCGCTGGACAGACATTCTGACTTTGGTGCCCTTCTGGGCCTTGGGGCCACCAGCGCCCTGTAGGTAGGCAGGCTGGAAGGCTAACATGTTGTAGTCCACCTCTACCAGGCCACCAGCCCCTTGGACGCTGTAGTCATCACTGCCCCCACTGCTGGCCCCATCATGCCCTCGGGGCAGCCCAGCCACAGCTGGACAGGGAGAAGAAGAATAGGACTCCAATGATGGAGCCGGGGAAAGGCTCTGAGAGGGGGAGGCCTGGTTCAGCTCAAAGGGCCCTGCCCTGTCTTTCCAGTCCCAGGAGGACAGCAGGCCAGGGCCATCGGAGGAGCCCAAGCCACCTTCGAGGCTTAGGAAGGTCTCACGCAGGTTGTCCATGCCCGCGAGGCAGCTGCAGAGGGAATGGCTCCCTGGCAAGTGAGAAAGAAGGTTCTGCCGCCTGACCAGGGAAGAGCTGTCTTTTATGATAGTGGGGGAGAAGTGCTGAGGTGGGAAAGAGGGCCGGGTAAAGGGAGTTCAAAGGAAAAACCAAGAACCAAGATGGAAAATGAACTCTTCAGGTGTCACTTTCTCCTCATTGATAATTAGCATCTTCCAGCTAAAATGTCTTTAAACAGAAAGGCCTCCAAGAGAAGAAAAAAGGAATTATCTTGTTGTAACTAAACCAATTAAGGCTGCATAACTAGACTTAGCATTGTCCTGTGGAACTCATTAATGAGGGAGCCAAAGAAAACAAACCTGGGGCATCTGCAGGAAGGAGGGGGTGGCTGAGGGGCTGGGTGCAGAGTTGCAGAGCGACCCGATAGGGCCTCCAGCCTCTGCACCAAGGCCTGCTAGATAGTTCAGAGCAGACGGGCTGCATTGATGGAGCAGCAGCATGGTCCAGGGACCCCTCTGAGCTTAGATTCCCTAAAATGTCCAGTGCAGACAACCGTAGCTCTTATTTCCTAGGGCTGTTGGGAGGACAGCACACGCAAGGCATACTGTGGATGCATTTCCTTCTTTCCTTCCGCATTAGCAAATTTCTCTGGGTTTTTAGAGTATAGACGTGCCCCCAACATGCCTACACTCAGAATGACAAAGGCCAGCAATGAGCCTTAATGAGCAGGAAGTAACCTTCAGGAAGCATAATGCCCTTGCTATAACTGAGCAGATTTGGATTCCCCACAGCAAACAGACATCAGGAAACAGAAAACTCCTTTAAGCCAAAGAGTTTGCAGAATACCTGGCATTTAGCCCTCCGAAGGTCTTTTTAAAATCCAGCTGTAGCTGTACCTCGTTTTTTTTGAAATGAGTCACACCTTGTTTTTTGAAATGTGTAGAGGAAGTGTGAAATTAACTAGGGAGTCTGTTTTCCCCACCACAGCTCCAAATGCCACTGAATGTGTTAGGTGGGACGGTTGTGCTAGTTTGTTTCACTTCCTACATGCTCTGATAGACCCTGTATTTTGGAAAAGGGACCTCTGATTCCCCATTTGTCCCATGAAGGTAGTTTGTTTTCCATATAACTAATTCTACAAATTAGTATTAGCATCAGAGTCACAGTGAGTTACATTTTAGGGTAATATTAACGTGTTCTTTAACATAGTTATTTGAGTCCTTTTGCAATTATTGAAAAGAAATGTCAGTGGCCTAATTAGAACATTTATGGTATTTTTTAATTAGCAAGGCTCAGGGAAGAAAAATCTCAAGCAGGTAATTTGTAGAAGAATGCTCTTAATTTTACCATTGACTAATGAACCATAAGCCAGATCTGAAAGAATAATATTAATAAATTATAATAAATGTAATAAACGATTTCTCCTCCTTTTTCCTCTCTCCTCTCTCTTCCTTCAGCTTTCGTTGAGAAGTCTAGAATCTGCTCATACTATGCAAGGAGATTTATATATTATAACTCACCTTCATTAAAAAAAAACCAACTAACATTTTACAGATGAAAATACTGGGGCTGTCAGAGGTTAAGAGACTCAGTTAAGATATCCTTGGTAGGAAGTGTTAGAGCCACGATCCCTTGTAAGACCCCAAAGCCAACCTTTTTGTAAAATCTCTTTTCTCCCTTTCCTCCCTTGGTTGTGGTGACCTCAATGTGACTCAAAGAGAGAAGATTCCCAGTGGACACAAGGTGGCTGTGGTGGCTGCTGCAATTGTAGGCTCTCAGTCCTTATGTTCTAAACGTCACAGTTTTCCATGAAACACAACCGCTGCTCTCAGACTCCATAATTTCCCCCCTTTTCTACAGCTTATTTCTAACATTGCTAATTTCTTGAATCTCCATTTTTAGACATTTCATTTCCTAAATGACCCAATATCTGTCAAATCCTTGGTGCACTTACTGGAGACACTTAATAAGGGTAGATCTCGTTATTGTTGTTGCTGTCTGTTCATGGTCAGACCCACCAGCATCAGAATGACTTACTGAGCTGTGACTCTTCTACACCTTGATCCCTGCCTCCCGGCATGGTGGCTCCCAAAAAACCTATTCTTGGAACAAGGAAACTGCCTGGTTTCCATCTTCTCAATTTACACACTGTTCCTCTGGTAAAAAATAAAACAGAACCAGACTTGCATTTATCCCACTTGTCTCCGAGAAACGTCCTGTGCTCTGTCTGAGGAACATAACTGTAAAGGACAATGTGACACTACACTATAGGCATTCGAAGGCCTATAGTTGGGCACACACTGGTGGATGCTTTTCTGTCTCCACTGAGAATCAACACTGTCCAGTGTTCTGGACAGGCCAGATCCAGACTTGACCCGATAAACTTAGCTGAGAGTGTGGGTGGTGGTAAGATGAGCCAGATCTTACATCCTTTAGGGAAATGACTCACCCCTCTGGGCCTTAGTATTTTAGTTTGTAAAAGGAGAGAATAATACTTGTCCTATCTTCTTTATGAAGAGCATCTGTCAAATGAGGAGAGTGGACCAGGAGATCGTTAAACCCTTCCAGCTCCAAAATGCCATGAAGCCTATTACTGCAGTGTGAACATGCCTGGTGAAAAGAGCACCATGCCAGCATGAAGGGATTGGAGATCACTGAGTCCATCGTTATTTTTATTCTAGAGATGGTCAGTGACTTGCTCCATGTCATACCCAAAGCTGCAGCAGAGATGGAACTAGAAAAGCCAAAGTTACCTGACTCCCAGATCTGTCCTTTTTCTTCCCTCGAAACTAATGTGGATTAAGTGCTAAACTTGAATCAGGAAGACTACATATATCCCACATTACTGAATTATTGGGATAAATACTTTAATTTAAATGTCATTCACTCAACAAATATTTACAAGCTATTGTGACTGTGATTGCAACAGATTGAAAAGAAGCCCCAACCCTGAGGCATACTCACAAGAGACCTTAAAAACCTCCTGGTCCTATTTTCCAAAGAGTAATATAGTGGTATAGGTTGTCTCTGCTCTCAAATCCCAGACCTTCTTATTAACCTTTATACCGTGGCTACACCTGGGATTTGCACATATTAATGAGTGGTCTGTGTCTAATTTTCAGAATGATGAGGTTCTGAAGGAGTGCCACTCACGTCCCCAATAACAGTCAGGACAATTGGGCGTTTCACACTGGCTGCAAGGGATTGTAAACACTAGACCTAAGGACCAGGAAGCTTTCTCCAGGCAGAGCCATGTCTAGGAAATCGAAAAATCGTGCTCAAATGGTAGACAGGAAACAGAAGGCAACAGGCTGATGGGATTCTTGAACCTGCAGCCACTAGTGGTTCCGTGCCACTGCCAGCCCTTATGGCACCACTTTGCAAAATAGAAAACTGCCAAGCTCAGGCGTATTTCAGCCCTGCCTGCCTCCTCAGCCGGGCACCTTTGTGCAGGGTCCAACCTCCACAAGCGGTGGCCTGGGAGCCCTCTGTGACGTGGCTCCTCTGCAATGAAAGCATTCGTAGTACTTTAGTGGCTGTTCAAACATTGGTGGACAGATAGAAGGGAGGAGTAGCGGCAAGAGTGCAGAGACAGGAGCCAGACTAAACCTGAGTCAAATCTGATATTTGCTCCTGCATTATTGTGACGTTGGACACATTAATCAACCTTCCTTAGCTTTAGCATCGTCTGTACAAGTGAAATACTAATACGTGCCTCCTAGAGTACGCACTTTGACCGTGTATACATTGTACACTTTAAGTATGGTAACGAATGTTGCTGTAATTACTAATCTTATGCTCAGTAAATTCTTGGTCCCTTGAGTCAAGAGAAGCTAGGGCCACGATACAAGTAGCCACAAATACATCACTCCCATATTCTCTTGGCCTTAAGTAACCTCTGCTTAGAAGTAAAAATTTTTCCCTTCAAATGAAACCTTTCTTTTTTAGCAGAGCCAGAGCAATGGTGTACCCAGGGTGGGTGGTGGAAGCTGCCATCCTCTGGTGCAGGCAACAAAGGAATATATTGTCTATAGATAATTTTAAAACAGTGATAAAACTGGTTAAAAGTTCGTCTGTGTTTTACTATCACCAAATAGCGGTAATTCTAAACAATGACAGCGATAAAATGACTACTTCTCGTTGGGGCGGACCAAACCCACCACTACCTCCATGCCTGGCATACCACTGCCAAAGAGAACTTGAAATTAGCCTAGAAGTTTGGAACTGTCACTCAAACCACACAAATCCTAGTGCCAGTTCTGACTCTACACTTTGATATGGAACGCTGAGTGAGTGATTCAACCTTTAGACCTCAGTTTCCACATGTGAAAATTAGGAATCCTATATACCGTGTTGCTATGATGTTATAAAAAATTAAAAATTGAGACTTGACTTTTGGAAGTATAAAGGGCTATCGGGTTATGTTTTGCTATTACTGGGATTAACAAAAATAAATACTTTCACCAATGCAATCACCGTGTCAAACCCGGCCATGATGCCATACTGTACGACACAGGTAAATCAGCATGGAAGATGGTTCATGCTCTTTCAAAAGGCGGTCTCATGAGAAATAGCACTATTCCCAGATCTGTTCTACATGAAACAATTTGTGTGGCCATTTTCTTGAGGCAGAAGGAAGACTTGAGTGAATTTCATCCTCTAATTATGCTCCAGAAAAGCCTTCAATAGATAAGAATTTGGTCAGCAAACTAAAAAAATCTAATCCTAGAGTCTAATGAAAATGAAAGTTACTTTTTATTGAATTCCTGCCATGTGTTGAGAATCAAGTTCGACTCTTTTAGATTCATTAATTCAACCTAATTTTCACAGCAACTCTATAAGGTAAAGGTTCTAATCCATACTCTGAAGATGAGGAAACTTGTGTTCAGAAAGTTTCTTCCAGTAAACACAGCAAGAAGTTGGAAAAAGTAGGATGCATCGTAAGTCTGTATGAATTCCAGATCCCCGCTATACTACATACTTATAATTTCAAATTCCA